AACAAATACCCGTCGCGAACTCAAAAAATATAGCAAACCAAACTGGAGCAAGAAAATTTCAGAAGAAGGACATGAAAAGAAATTAACCCAAAAACACTATACAACCATGCCAATAAAAACGAGTAGACAGGACTCAATTAAACGTTTACCTCACGATCAAGTTTCTCTTTAGCCGTCAATTGACGAGCTTGTTGCCCCATTTGTGGTCCGGGAGCATCATTTCTCGGCGCTGGCTCTGGAACGACAGGTCTTGGAACCTCTTATCTGTGGGGCATCTGAACTTCACCGTTTGGTTGAGGCAATCTTTATCCGAAGTGTTCTTTGCTGAAAATTCGTGTGGAAAAAATGGAAGTTCCACCTTCCTCCTTGGCGTTGATCAGAGACTGAGCGGAGAGGGAGTGTTCGACGGCATTTATTATTGCCCCTTGGGAGGCAGGGCCCCGTGCACCTGCATACCCTTGTGCATGAGACTTGTTATTTTAATGTTTTGGCTTCGCGCTTCGATTTTGAACATTGTGAATTGTACCATAAACATAGATTGCAACTCAAATTTGAAGAAATCAGATGAGGGAAGCAAGCTCTATACAAAACTAAATAGAAAACAATTATACTGTATTGTGAAACTAATCAAGTAAGTTCGTAAAGTCATGTTTTTTAATGTGAAAATCGAAAAATTTCTGGGTAGCAATTCCAGGCAATCTGTCGCATTTCTGGTGTCTTTCATTTTGGGTGGTGGAATTTAATAACAAAATTAAGTGTCCCTTTAATACAGGTTGCGACAATAGAAATCACCATGTTTCAGGTACTTTTTAGCTGTCCACGACCGCTTAATAAAGGATTCATTCTTTAGTTTAAAGTAAATCAGGGAAATAGATTTGGGGACTTCAGCTTTTGTCCGCTAAATAGAGGGTGTCCGCTTAATACAGATTTTACTGAATCTCTATAGCCAAATTCCTAAACAAGAAGGTAAAACGATGGTTTGAAAGATAGCAAATTTTCCGAAGATTCTGTCGAAAGAAATTCTAATTGAAATTCAGCGAAAGAAAGTAAAATTTAGCTGAAAATAGCCCAACTGAGAACAAAGAACTAAGAAGGTGTTAGGTCGCGTGGCCCCAACAAGATTTTAATGAGATCAGGACATCTCATTATGATTCAAGTTTGGAAGCAAAAGTGAGAACTAACTTCAGGTTTAAATTAAAAGTTCGAACTTCGTTTACAGAAATTGTTTATTTTCCCATTCCACAGCTGAATACATCTACCAAGGGAACTAATTATTTCTATCTATCGAACTTCGTTTCTGTGTTTCTTAAATAAGCTTGGAGAGGTGTTTCTTAACCTCAATTAAACCTTTAGTTGCGAAAGACTGAAACCTCTCTTATGATGTTTCCTACATTTAACCTTGCGTCCAACTTATATTTTTTGATTGATCTTAACACCAAAGAGGTCGGTGCAAAGATGTTGCGTCAAAGACTTAACCGACCAAGAAAAGTTTGCTAGTAGAATCTAAAGTGTGTCCAGCTGTTATGAAAACTTGTAAACACAATCGTTTGTCCCTTAACAAAAGATATTTGAGATATAGTGGAACTTCTGATTTCCGAACCGACCTAAAAACAAACTTATTGATCTATCATATATCAGTAAATAAAGTTAAAATGCCCAACACCGAAATAAATAAATAGCTAGTCGAGGACCGGAAGCTAGATTGTGTTAGTTGCAGGCAAAACGTTTGGAACAATTAGTATTTGTTTTAGTTCCTTAATCTGGGACTAATGGCCTATTCTTTACTCTGATTCAACTCAGCGCGTGAATATCTTTTCTAAAACAAGATAAATCGAAAACATTGATCACACAAAAGTACAAGTAGTTTGCCTAACCTAAACACATATTAGCTGTGGTCACACTACAGACTTTTTACCTAGGTAAGCTCGACTTGTTGACAGTTTACCTAAGGAAAATTGATTTTTTAATTGTGTGACCCATTTTTCCCTGGTTAACTTACCGTATTTATTCGAATAAGCGCCTAACCTCGAATTAGGGAAAAAAGAAATACCGAGATTGTTAGACGATAGACGCTCATCGGCGAAGGTCTTGATGACAGAACCGGACATAACTTACGCGGTGAAAGAAATTTTGGTGGTACGGGTCGTCTACGTCCCCTCCTGTTTCACCTTGCACGTTGAATTAGCGTAAGAACTAACAGCGAGACGTCTCTTTGATCGGCTACATCCCTGCGCATCTTGCTTTCTTGAAATTACGCTCCAAAAAATTCAACTGTGCGTGAAAACCTTGGTAGCCGATATCAGTAGTGTGACCTTCCCAGAATTTTTTATCTAGGTAAAACAAAACCCGAGATGAATTTACCTTGGAAGACTTTTGATGAATTTGCCCTAGGTAAATCGGTTTTACCTAGGTAAAAGTCCGTAGTGTGACCCCTGTTCAATAAGAGACGGCTCCCTTTGACTCCTGCTTTGTCGCAACCCAACACCTATTCGGTAGGTATTGGGCTGCGACAACGACACTAAGTTTACGTGTTTTTTTGTGCGTTTTATATTTTCAATTTTTGTTATATTTTCCCCAAATTTTGTCCCTTAGCATAAACTGAATAAATATGATCCCCTTAGCGAAAACATTCCCCGAAATATTTGAAAGGTCGATGATTCAATATTTGAAACTTAAAGTGACTGAATGTTCGGGATGTACGTTAAAAGTAAGGAGCAATATGTGTAGCCCGGGGGGGGGTACTCCTGGGAATTCTTGGTGGGGGTGCCGTGTGCAGCCCGGTTCTCCAAATCCTGACCCGATTTTAGACCAAAAAGTGTTATTGTCCGCACCCGTTTTCAGACCTGTCCTTTTGGGCGGAAATTATATTATCATAACTCAGATTGGAACGCAAAGAAACAAATTCTTCAAATCCATTTCGAATTCGCATATTTCTCTTTCTTTCTTACTCGTTTGGAATTGAAACGATAAATACATTCATACACTCCTGTAGTTCCCTCGAAAACCACACCCGATTACAGAGCAAAATTACCAAAGGCTATACCCGTTTGCAGACCAAAACGGCGCAAAAACCCTATCCGATGGGGCGGCACATACCCATATGGCTTATATAAGGGAGTACCCCCCACCACCCCCGGGATGTGTAGACACTTGAATTTCAACTACTTTGATTTTATGACTTAAGCTTGAACGGGCACTTCTGTCGCATCTGGCTCTGACATTGTTGTCATTTTTGGTTCAAAGTGGTCGTCAATGCAACTATAACTTATCCAACAACCCGACGCTAACTTAGTTGCTCAAAAGACCTTTGTTTTTTCAAGAGCATGGTAAAAGAGTAAACAAAAAATAGAGATAGACTCAAATGAAAAATAAAATTTTGGAAAATGGGTGTCTACAAAAGGGATAAAGCATTTACAGAAAAACTGTGTTCAGCCTCTGCCGAAATCTGTTATCTGTGCATCATGCATCGATCATTACCTGTACTTTTCGTTTTTTTTCTTTCGAAAGAAAGGCAAAAATATCGTTTGTAATGAAAATTGTCTTTAAGGGACCACTCATTTATTACAGGGGGGGGAGGGCTGGTGCAAGGGGGTGAGGGTCATTAAATTTTATGTAACCAAAAAGGGAAGTGTCACCAAAAATATAACCTGGGCTTTGGGGAGGGCCATGATTTTTTTGTAAACATCGCTGCTCACTTAAAATAAAAATAAAGTAATAAACAAATACGCCCCTTGCACAGTAAGGATTTTAGATCTTAATACTCATCAACTTAAACAACCCAACAACCCTACATGTATGTCAACTGTTGCTTAGAAAGCGGTCTTTTAATACAATGAAAGAAAATGTGATCAGTGCTACTCCCCAAACTGGCTGCTAGCATTACTGCTATGAGAATAAGAAACTTGCGTGGCTTGTCGAGAATCAACTTGACGAAATCATGAGGATTTGGACAGAGGATAAAGAAAGGGCCGAAGAATCTGAAGAAACATTAGCAAATGAGTTGCTGGAAAAACTTGTCAGCATTAAAGAAAACGCAGCCTCACTACAAAGAGACGTGATTATCTATGTAAAACAAGAGAAACTGTGGAACACTGTGGATGACCTTTTAAGTGAATGCTCCCAGTATCTTAGGAAGATAGATTGTTTACACCCCTCTAGGACGTGCTGTAGCATCCTGAAGACCACAGATGCAGGCCATGGAGAGGGAATAACCAATACCGAGGTTCGCTTTAGGGACGCAGAAATTGCCCGCATTCATTCATCTGACCGTGTCAACAGAATCCGTCGTTTTTCCGGGGACTCTACTCAAAATGAAGCAGAAAGAACAAATGCCCGGCAGCCATTGGTGATCCCTTATCGATGGATCAGCATTGAGATGGCAATATTTCAAGCCATTTGACGGCATGACAGCTGTGGAGATTGGCGCACTATCAGCAAATGAAATAAAGCAAAAAGAGAAAGAATGCATGGAAAAGAATGTGGGGCAAGTAGCCCAGGAGGTAACATCCATGGTGCATGATGAGCCAGGGCCTGCTGAAAACTTTGTTAAATGTTATGTTACAACTTGTGACATTCACTTTCAAATTGGAGAGGTGTTTCTTGAATACCGGAAGGGGCTTGTGAAATTTCCAGCGTCAAACTATGTGACTTTTGCAAGTAAAGTAGAAAGTGTTGTAGTCAGACTGAGCGCATTCCAAGGCCATTCCCTGATTATCAAAGACCTGGCTTTCACTACCTACCTGTGGATATGACAGCTACAGTCGACAGAACCGTTGACGATTATTTACCACGAGCCCAGTTTAAAAAAAGCATATCAATCTGGTGAATGCTGGCTGGAAGATCTTGACAGCATTTCAAAATTCGCACAGGGGTTTGTTGTATCATAAGAAATTGTGAAAACATATTTGAAGCACATGAAATTGTTGGAGCTAAGGCAGGAAAAGGGAAAGAAGGAGAGACTGGAGAAGTCTTCTGTCAAGGTAAAATGACTTACCAAAACTATGATTGAGCAAACAGGTGCTGTGTTGGACAAATACTTACAATACCATCATCTGAAGACTCATCCTTTGAGGAAAGATAAATTGATTGAAGTGCAAAGACACATAATAAGCAATTTAACAAACTCGGCAACGCAACAGGAACAGTTTGATAGTGACAAAGAGTTGGTAGAAGCCACTCTTTCATCAGAGGATGAGGATCAAGATGAGGAGGTGGACTTTGTATTAGCAGAAATTGGTTCTTCAAGCTCTGAGTAAAAGGAGGAAAGTGATGAGAACGATTATGACAATTCCTCTCGCGTTGCTACCTTTAAAAGATCAGGGAGGAGAGCAACACGCTTTCTGTTATGAACTTTACAAAGTAAAAGTTGATCTCTTTTAATAATCCCTGTTATATATTTCAGCGTGGGGAGGGTCATAACTTATTTGGGCCATACAAGGGGGGGGGGGTTACAGTTTTTCTGCAGGAAATTAGAGGAGGGCAAAAAAAATTCACCTGGGATTGCACCAGCCTCCCCCCCCCACCACTATAATAAATGACAGATCCCTAAACCGTCATGTTTTTAACGGTAATTTTTTTTTCTATAATAAAAAGGCTGAAATTTAGTTTTGTGCAGACTCCTCACCCATTCCAACTACGTTATTATGTCTAGGAAAGTTATCTGCCTATCAAGAAAAAAGAGCCCTTTCGTACCATAACTGTTTAGCCTCTTACAAGGTACCATCAGTAGCTGAATGTATACCTGTTACTAAAAGAGAGTATAAGAAAATCCTTAAACTACCTGTATCCTAACCTGGTCGGATGAATACACTGGCTTTTTACGATTTAAGAGATGCTATTGTTCGGCATACTTCCTCACTCGAGTCCATATAGAAAAACGTTTCGTTGAAAAGATCTGCGACATTTTTGTAATGATCGATTTGTTTCTCCATACAGCGACTATCCCATAGCCAATTATAGTTTTCGAAATTGAACAAGTTGACATGAATGTTAGTTTGATTATATTCCCTGCATAGATCGCCACAGAGTCTTATTCCGAAAGAATAACATAAGCCTTCAACCAACGTGTCATTGACAAAACGTGCCGTTGGCACTGCTGGATCCATGTATTTTCCATTGAGCATGAAGTGGCGTATGTGTACCGAAGAGCGCGGATGTGGAATCTTTTCCTCTGGCTTAACTTCAGTGAAGAAATAGTCATACGGTACTGAGGCGTTTAATGCGGGACGAGTCGGTTTGACATACTGCAAATGCCATGAGTATTCATCTCTGTGGTGGTACCACATGTAGTTGCACATTGTACTATAATGGCAGTAACACCACCCCTGGATATTGAGTTTCTTTGTTGTTTCAGAAACAACTTCTTTAAAGTCTTTACCGTGCAATTTAGCCACATACTGACGAAATTCTCTGATATGTGCGGTTTTGAATGTCACGGGGAAATAATGCATACACTGCATGACTTGCTTTCGACGAAGTATATAGGCAGCACTTTTAATCCAACAGGGAATTCTAGGCTCTCCTATTCTTCCCGTCACCACAGGTTTCCCATCTTCCAGAATTAAGCTTGGCGTAACTGCTGTCGTAAATAGTGTGTCAACATCAACTAAACCAACATACGTGGCATTAGTACACAAGTCAGCATGCATCATGTCCATATACATCCGCATTTTCCCCATGTGATGAATCATCTCTTGAGGATATGGTTCCATGTAACAAACTCGTAAATCTAGCTTTTTATTCTGCGTTGTCTCATTCAGGGTAGAACCATATTTTCTGTCTTCTTCACTTTCTTTATCTAAGACGACAACAACTTTTGAATTCTTCGGCCAAAATAATGACATGCTTCGTAGGACCCAACTTTCCGCTTGAAGAGGAAACTGCTTAATTGACGAGGTATATCGCAGATAAGTTTCAAACTCATCTACAAGGTTTTTAGACTTCTCGGCTGACTCCGTTGGTTCTTCAACATTCGATTTTTAGCTGGAGTCGAAAATATACCTGAAGAGATGCCTTCATGCTCAGAGATTCGAGGATATAATGATATGCTTACAAGATATAACGATACGATGCATATGGATACCAAAGGTAAAACAAAAATACTTCCCTTAAACTTGAAGATCTCATTTTACCGACATTCAGCTGAGGGCAAAAAAAAGTAAAGAGTAGTCTCAGAGCGCGAATGCAGTCATGGCAGTTAAAATTTGGCTGTTAAATTTCCGATCAACACTGCTGTTCCTTGGAAACCACGCGGTGTGCGTCACGAGATTCGACCAATCAGAATGCGTTATTTATAGAGTGATTTTCACGCTTGGAAAGAGCCGTTTTCAGAGGTGTATTTGATGAAATTTTTGGTTTATTCCAAGCTTGTGTAGGTAACTTCGACACTATGCCTCCGTCGAAAGTTGTTGGAACTTTTTATCTTGATAATAGTTACGTTACTTTTAAATATTTTGCTTTCTTGAACGTTTGTGACAAGTTTGAATTGCTCGGTGATGTGCAGGCCGCCATGATGATTTGAGTGTTATTTTTGTCGTTCTTCTTGGATTCATTGCTGGTTACTGTTAGCAGGTTTATGGGATTATTTTGGTCATCTAGTTACTTCAATCTTTCTTCTTTGTAAATTTCGGAGTCTACCCGGGTCTATCCCTGTTAGTTTTCCCGCTATGAGACGTTGCAAGTGCCTTGGAATGAAGAGATCGTCTCAACCAAGTAGCATAACTCCCAGGAAACGGGCTAAGAAAACATGCCGAAGAGGAAGCCGACGTGAGGCGAGTAACGCCAAATCTAGGATGAGTTTGTTCCATTTTAGACCATAAAAGGTAAATAAGTTTGATTATTGTAATAACTTTTGGAAACAAAACATTTTTCATAACCCGCTGCGGAATGGCTTTAAAATATCTTGCGTGCAGTGTGTGCTATGTTTAAGCAAATTTTCATGTAAACTTACGTAAGGGAATAAATTGTTATAAATGTAGCTGTAGCTGTCTGGCTCTTTCGGTCTGTTTTTCCCTTGCCAGTGATAAAAGAACTATTTGCGCATAAGCATTGCAATCAGGGACAGTTTGCAAAATAATATAAACTAGTCGATGAAAATAAAATAATAATTATTGTTTGTTATTGTTGTGAGAGACGACGCAAGATTTCTCACCTTGCTCTTTTTTCGCGCTCCCTGGCCGAGAGCTACTAAGATAATATAAGATAATTTTATTATATCTCTTCAGGATATCTCTGTTTGAATTGAATTGCATGTAGCATTTTACTTTCGAGTTTGTTGCACATGATGTCAACACAGTGGAGTGCCTCTTCAGAATAGGACCAATCTATGTGCTGAGCGGTACTGATTAATCTACTAGGAACATCACACTTTGCCCAGTTAAATTTCTTGGAAGCCAGATATTCCACATTATCATACAATTTCACTTCCAGCGTTGCTGTTAAATGATCACTTCCACGCAGTGGGGGACCTGAAGTAATGTGCTTGATAATGTCAGAGTCAGACGTGAATATTTGGTCTAAAGTAGATGTCTGGATTTTGTTATTGACTATATGCCCGCCTTCTTGTGATTTCGTCAGTGATATGCCATGTGGGACCACAAGAAACAAAACAATCAATGCACTTCTTTTGATTTAACAATCTCCGATCAGAAGTATCGATGGCTCCTCGAACTGTTCCGTGAGACCAACAAACATCCGGGAGATTGAAATAACCCACCAAGATTACTTGATCAGTATCACTTTATTCTAGTAGGTAGATTGTTTAATTCAGACCTCACGGCTATATCGTGTTCATCAGTGGATGAAGGTAATTGATAGAGACAAACAATGTTTACATCACCACTATTTAACAGCGAGTCACGTAGATAGAATGTTTCCACAAGGAGCCCGAACACTGTATTAGCTAATAGAAAAAATTAGATGTTTTTACGCTGTATTAGCTAATAAAATCATAAGATGCATTTACCTTTATTCCTGTGTCTTTATGAGTCGTTTTGGAAAGGATTTGAATCCGATCAGAGACGGTTAACATCGCTGGTTGTCAAATGCGTTTGCTTGTCTGGCGCTTAGTAAATAAGACGCTTAAGTTTCGTCTCACGTTTTTAATATTGTTAACTATTAACCTTCCAACAACGGCCACCACCAGATGAAACTCGAGATCATCTCTCAAGGAGATCGAGAGTTAATAGTTAACATGACAATATTAGAAACGTGAGACGAAACTTGAGCGTCTTATTTATCAACATATTTTTGTTGTTTGAAGCCAGGAAAGTTGCTGAATTGCCTAGATTTTGCAAGACACCAAATTTGGTTTCAGCATCAATCAATGAACTTGCCCATTTTTATCAGGTCTTTCGATGCGACTATCCTAACTATCATTTGTTTTATTTCCTCTATACACAGTTTATACCACCATGGCGGCCACAGAAATGCAAGTAAGCGTAATTAAATACAGTGTTTCTCATTCAACTTCGTACGATTTTCTATTGAATTCAAGATTTTACAAAAACGAGTTGAGAGGGAAGAAAGTGTAAACACCATTCCTGAGACCTGTTGTTTTCAAAACAGATCTCGCTAACTTATAACTAGGCTAAAACTAGGCTGATAACGCTTAAAATTCATTTTGAGAGAACGAGTCGCTACACGCGGACGAAGTCGCTCTTGTTGTTAATGCGAACATTCTCTATTCAGTTTTCTCTATTTAAGCTTAAATGGGAGCGCCCTGAACTGAAACTTCGTAATCGCACGGACCTAAGGTCTTCACGCTGTTCTCCGAACCTGATCCCTTCAGTCACTCCCGTTTTATATCTTTTTTGTACGCAAACATCAATAGCATTCCGTTATGGATGAATAAAAAAGTGGGCATAAGTTTATTTAGTCACTTCTGAGACAAAAACAAAGGATTTTGCACCGTCATTGGGGTGAAGCACAGTTCTCCTTCACTGACAATGAGTTGGTGGCGAATAAAGCGCCACATTTTGCTCACTGATTTGGCCTCTTCACAGTTTAATAAAACGAAACACAGTGCTTGTGCCAAGCAAGAGCATTCTAACGACAATTTAACTCATTGTAGCTCTTACAGATTCAATGACTAAATTACTACTAGTTTCGCTGTTTTTGTTGGCTGTTTTTGAATCGTTTTTTTTTTTAGCAGAAAACATTTATATTTTTGAGCAGACATGATTTTTGCCATCCTTAAAAAGAATGGTGGAACTTTAAGAGAAAATGTTTTTTGTTTTCCTTCAGGCGTAAACACGGTTGAGATATTATTTGCATACATTTAAAAGCCGCAATCAAATTGATGAAAACAATGTGTATAACTTCGAAACCTGGCTACGACGGGATTTTTCTC